TTAGATAATACAATTAGAAGACATAACGAAAAAAAAAAATTAGTTTTTTTTTTTTTTTAATCGATAGAAATAATGAAAGATTTGAGTAAGCTTCGTTATCAGATATTGATAACAAATAATCAGAAATCGCCTACTTCAATGTGATAGTTATATGAGTAATTTAAAAAAGAAATTTTTTTTTTTTTTGAAATGAACTTCAAAATTTCAATTCTTTCGTTTTCTTTTTCTTTTCCTAAAACTGAAAACAAGATTTTGAAAGCATAATGTTCGTGTTTAATTTTAATTAAATTATTAAATTTATTTTGCAGGATAAGTGAACAATAAATTGGATGTGAAATTAAAAGTTTAAAGAAAAATCAATTTTTCTTTTTTTTTTTATTTCCACATTCCTTTCATTATTGCAAAGAAAAAAAAAAGTTTGAAAGAAAACGAGAGAGAAAATTCAATTTTTTTTTCTCTATCCGTTAAAATGAAATGTTTTTTTTTTTAGATGAAGTTTTTTTTCCCTCATAAATCGCTCACATATCGATATTGTTTTTGCTATAAATGGCTATGGAATATTGTTTTAAATGCCGTAAAATGAAATAAATTGCCGAAAGAAGCAAAAGAAAGAAAAAAAAGTTGGCTTAACTCTCGACTTAAACTCTCGATTAACATATGTATATGCACATATTAAATATACTACTCCGAGATATCCAAAAAAAAAGAAAAGAAAAAGCGGGATGTAAATATAGCGATAAGTTAAAAGAAGTGAAATGTAATTTGAAGAAAATGAATAATTTTATTTTACTTTGAGTAAAAAAAAGAAAAACGGGAATGGTTTATTCTTTCAATGATAAAAATTAAAATTTCATTTCTTTCTTTTTGAATTCAATAATTTAGAAGAAAAAGAAAAGTATGAAAAAACTGTTTATTTGAAGTTTATTAATTAATTGTCTAAAATCATTGCATGAATTTTTGAAATTTATTAAAATAACCACTTTTTAATTAGCAATTATTCTGGAATAATTCTTTGCAATCAATCTTTGCATTTTTTCCATTTTTGTTCAAAGAAAAATGAAGGAAAAAGGAGGAAAAAAGGCAATATATTTTTTAATTCTTTGCAAAAAAAAAAAATGAAAAAAATAAAACAAATTTTCGTTTGTTTCAAAAAAGTTTTTGCAAAATTTGAGACTGGGAAGTAGCTGTGTAAAAGTTTTTGAAATAATCTTTATTACTCATTAATTATTACTTATCGGTTATTAAAATGATATATTTATTTTAATTAATTTTACAAATTAGTATAATAGTTTCGATAATCAATTATTAAACTAGCTTGTTTTTTTTTTTATTTTTTGAATGATAATAGTAACTAAAAAAAGCGAGTACTCTTAATTACCAATATTTTCTGTTGAAAAAAAAAATCTAATAAATTCTAAACTAAATTATTTTATAATATTTATGTGTATACCAATTGCTTTATTTACTACGGATATTCATTAGTTTTTTTTTTTCGAAATTCTTAATTAGAAATTAAAGGAATCAAATAATTTTCCGTTATTCCTTAAAAGCGAATGGATATTAAATTTCATTTCGTATTTTAATAGTATCAAAAGTTCATATTTTAAAAGAACTCTTTTCTTTTCTCGTCTCCTTTTTTTTTTTTTTCTCTTTAAAAGTGTCAACCAATATATTCCATTTGATAAGAAAATAATTCATTTGCAAAAAAACCAAAATTTCAGTTATTTTTCTTTTTTTTAAATTTTATTGAAATTAATAAAATTGGCGCTAACATTACTGTATTATATCGGTTATTGAACTGTTGGCATTAAGTGGTACCGATAGTTATCAGAGAAATAAATTCAACATCATTCCACTTCATTACCTTTTTTTTTTTTAATGAAATGTTTGGAAGAGAGAAATGAAATGGATTAAAAGGGAGAAAGGATGGGAATATATTATAGATTAGTAAAAGGCGGTAAATGCATTTCATTTTTAATTGCGCACATTTTGATGTGTCTATCCAAATTATATGTCAAAATAGTTTACACAATTCAGATCAATTTCTTTTTTTTTTTCTTCTCATTTCTTTTCTTCTATTATTTAAATTGTTTAAAAATTAAATTTTGATCGTAAAAAAAACAAGCCAAAACGAACAAAGATAAAAAATCTTTTTTAAATTTGATCAAAAAAAAAGTTGCATTTTTAATTTAAACAAATTTATAATTTTTGCAATCAAAACAAAAAAAATGAAATGATTTTAATGGAAATATATTAAATTAAATAAATTATCTCATTTTGCTATTAATTGTTGTATTGTAAAAATAAAAAATTTTGCTTTATTGAAAAAGAAATTAAATGGAAATAAATTAGTAAAAAAAAAAAGTTTTAATGATTGTTGAGAAAAGAGAGGGACAGAGGGATAGAGAGAGAGAGAGAGAGAGGAGGAGAGAG